TGTACCTCCGGGTATTGTAATGTATGTTGCAGAATGTTGGGTGCATGTTGGGACTGTTCTTTGAATTAACTAGTGAATTCGCGCGAATACCATTTTTTTCGAAAAGTTTCGAAATGTTTGTAATTGGCTAAATGATGTGTGAAATCACTAATCCTCCCTAGCCGACTGGAGCCCAAAAATAGAAAGGACAGGAGGCATCCCGTGGCGAATCTGGCTGCCCGACTCTCAGCGACCAGCGATAATGTAAACAAACACAGTAACGGGTGTCCGAGACACGAAAAGGAAATACAAATAATCTTACGCCCCAAAACACATATACAATAAAACAAAAAAAACCTGCACCATCTACAGCCCATTAACAGAAGATACACCGAGTCCCGAGAACGTCTGAGACAGTATACCACGGTATTTGTAAGCCGAAAACATCCGAAATTGCGCAAGAGGGCGTTGACCCCTGACCCATTGGCCCACCCGGAAGTTCGCTGGCTGCGACCCGCGCGATCCCACCAGGCACGAGACGTTGATTGACGGCACATGTGGTTCACATCTGAACAGTTTCAAAGAATGCTGACACCCCTCTGTGTGAAAGGTCAGATCAGTGGTCGCGACCTCAATGGTGATTATACATGCAAAGGTCAAAAGCTGAGGCCCACTTTCACACTGAAAGGGGTGTCCATCGGCGGTCTAAACGCATCATTTTCACGCACTAAAACACACATACTAAAAAACCAAAACAACGTGCACCATCTACAGCCCAACAGCAAAACGTATACCAAGTCCCAGACATATCCGTCCACCCAAACGCGAGAAACGGGTGCGAACGCAATTTTCGTCTTCCCTCACAAAACCTCCGCGCTCGGGATATACATCCCTACCCGGAGGTAACAAACGACGCCCAAACGCCACTGAGTGACGCGACGTTTAGCTTGAGTCCCGAGGCTACAGCGTCAGGAAGCTGCGGCAAGAACGAGTCCGTCATAAGTCTCCTGGACGCACGGGGAGTCAATCTCACGGCAGAGTTTGGAGTGGACCCCGACGGCATGTTCATGGTTACCCGACTGACTACAGTATATACCCAGACGGAGACGCTGTTCCCGGATAGCAAACATCCGAACAAGACTCAGAAAGTGAGCTCGCCTGAACACATTCTTCTTGCTCGTCTCGGACAGTCGTACCGATGTAACACTCACACTCCGGTCAAGTTTGGCAGCATGGTCAACGCTACATTTTTTGACTTGAAAGTACAGCCCTTCGAAGTGAAAAATAACACGTTTGGTGAGGAGCACGTCTGTTCGAATGACCGTCCACCACACACAACACCAGAGGCTACCACCCACCCCCACACCACTCCCCACCCTAACATCACCACTCCCCACCCTAACGTCACCACTCCCGTGCCTACAACCTCCCCACAACCCCCTACAGAGGGCATTTGGACGGTCAAGGGCAAAGACGGGAAACCTTGCCTGTTAGCTGACGCCGCTGTCCAACTGAAGATCCCCTACAACACCACGAGGAACAAGACTAGGACAGCCTTCATCGACGTTCCAAGGACAGCTACTGCAGGGGGAAGATGTGGGGAGGACAACTCGTCTCTGAGTCTACATTTTACTCCTGGTAACGTCACCCTTCAGTTGGGCTTTCGCAAGGAGGGTAAAGTCAAGACGGACTTCGTTCTGTGGTCAGTCGGAGTTGCATACAACGAAGACCCAGTTATCTTCAAGAACACTAGCTCGCCTGGAAGACGGGTGGAACTGGAAAATAGGACTCTCAAGACTTTTGAGACAAAACTCGGGATGGCGTACAAGTGTGAGTCGAAGGTTACGGTGTCCGTTAACCGTTCGGTTGAGGTGGAATTTAGGAACACGACAATACAGCCTTTCGGGGTAGAAGGCGGGAAGTTTGGCAATGAATCTGTGTGTCCAGAGGATCGTGGCCACACTACACCTCTGCCACACACCAACCACACTACACCGCCACCCCACACCAACCACACTACACCTCTAGTACCACACACCAACCACACTACACCTCCTCCACACACCACACCTCACCACCACACCACACCTCCCCACACCACGGGTCCACCGCTCTTCCCACCCGAGCCCAAGCAAGGCAACTACACGGTCAAGGGCATCGACAAACAACCGTGCATCCTCGCCAACATGGGCGTCCAGTTTCACATCAAGTACACCAAGACGGACAACAAGCAGGCGGTGGCGAGGTTCAACGCTCCGACCGACGCTGTCGCTTCAGGAAACTGTGGACAAGAAAAGTCCACCCTGACTCTTAGTTTCTACCAGAACGCCTTCATTCTCACTTTTGAATTCACCAAAGCAAAGACGGGGTCTAAGGGGGCAGAGTCGTTCCGAGCAGAAACCATTCAGCTGGGTTACAAAGAACTACAAGCTCATTTTCCGGACGCGGAAGACCCCGAGAAGGTTCGACAGGCCAGCAACAAGACCGTCCACGCGTTCGTGACCCAAGCCGACCACTCGTACAGATGTTTGGCGGACTACAACTTGACCGTGACCGCAGAAGTACAGATACTAGTCCGTAAGGTACACCTGCAGCCGTTCGGGGTTCAGAACGGGAAGTTCTCGTCTGCCCACGAGTGCTCCCTGGACCCGAAGCCGTCGCCCCACGGGAATTCTGCCGCTATCGCCGCTGGAGTCACCGTGCCGCTCGTGGTTGTTCTCGTCGCGGCCGCCGGCTTCTTCCTCTACCGACGCCGCAAAATGCACGGATCGGGGAAAACGAGATACGAACCACTGAACTGATGACGAACACTTGAGTAGTTTGATCGGTTTATTATGGCCCTTTTCCCAGCATTATTCGCTTTGATCCGGCTTCGATCCGGATCCATTCGGCTCTATCCGGATAATTCTATGGCCTTTGAAGGGCTTCTGTTGTAACGCGATACTGCAGTAGTTGTGTCATTTACTGATCAATAAATGAAAATTGTTTGCGACATATGAATTCATGTTTCAATATTACGGTCCTGTAGTGGTATTTCAATAACAAGTGCTGTTAATCACATGTACAACATTTATATTACAAATTCTACCTAAGTCAGATTCAGACAAAACGTGCAACATAGATCTTTCACATTATTGTGCAAGAAACTCCCACTCTTAGTCTGTGACGACCTAGAAATACAAATTTGTGAATGAATTTGCCCTCCCCATTCCATGACCTCGAAGTCACGACGACTTGTTTTTTGTTCGCTGTGTTTGTTTTAAGTTAAACTTCAACAACTTTGATTTTTAACCTCACTGCTTCAATTTATACATGTACAAACAGGGTGAGAGTCGGAGTTACACAGGACAGAAGTATAATAATTAACATCGGGCATGTGTTTATTGACTTTATTGTTTAACAGATTAAACCATGGAACGTACTACTGTAGTGGAAGATACGTACATCGATATAATCCACGTGCAAGACTTTCTTTATCAAGCTAGTCTCGACCGCTTTTTTCAAGATCCCGTGACAACAAAAATATTTATTAGACGATGATTATAAGCTGCATCCTATTTTGAGGGAAAAGGAATTACATTTGCGACATATAGCTACTTGGTTGTTCTGATACACATGTACAAATAAAGTGGTACAAAACTGCCCTCTGCTGAATATCATCAGAAGTGCAACTATTTTTTAAACAAACGAAGTGGGCTCAAGACCTAATGCATGCAGCTTAGCAGTGATTTTACCAACCGTCATACTATGCTTACCTTTGCATGAAGAGAAAACAGAACATTTTAAACATTGTGCATAACTTCCTGGAGGTGTGGAATCTCAGAGTTCTTGTTTAGACATTGGTTTTGGATACATCATGATAACATCAGTTCTCTCTTCTCAGTAACTCCACCTTGCGACTTTCTCTTGTATTAATGACCATAACACCGAGGTTATGATCTCTTTAATTTGCTTGCATTTCTTCAGCTGGTGCCAAAGCTAGAATTCATACGAATTTTACTGGATTCATACGAATTTTACGGAATACATACGATCCATTACTAAAAACATACGAATATTACGGAATACATGCGATCCATTACGCGGAAACATACGAATTTTACGGAATACATACGATCCATTACGCTGAAACATACGATCCTTACTAATTTGGTGACTTGCGCTGACGCGATCACTTACAGAGATTCTCAGCAGTGCTGAAGTTCTGAGTTACCTACAGTTCATATATCAGGATTATGGTTGTAATCCTTCCCACAAGTACAGCCCTTTTTACACTGATCTTCTAACTCATAGATGAGTGACACGCCCAACGCCCAACTAAGCTTTGAAATATTAGGAAAAGCTTAACGTTATGTTAACTTTGTCAGATTTCAACAAAACATTGTAATCCGAAGAATCTAATCTCTTCCGTGATAGCAACTTCAGTAACTTTTATCTTATCACAAATTTTGGTGAAAATTATCACATACCTAAAGAGTTTGTAGAGTCAGACAAAAAGTGTTAGATAGCTGGGCAAAATTAATGCCCGAGAAAGTGTGTCAATTGTTACTGTCAACACGGACAACAGGTGCAATATCTTCAAGCATAGCTTGGAAGGGAAGACGCTGGGATGATAACGTTTTCTGGTTGCCGCGTATTCATGGCACACAACCTATTAAATGTGTTTAATGTGTCACGGAATCTGGTTTACAAGAGTCAAGAGGGTGAAGGACAGAACTATTGGCGCTCATAAATTGAAGTTGGAGATTTAACTAAAATATCTGACCTCCCTGGTTAGACAGTGGAGAAAGGGGAAATTTTCCCGCCAAGAAGTACAGTTTATCGAAAGCCTTACAAAAGAGGTAAGGGGATCTTTTTTAATCTTCTTTGGCTGTATTCAGAGCCTAGAGTAGCCAGATCTAGTAAAGACACTTTTAACACTCTTTACAGCGCTACCCCCTTTTTAGTTGGCCTAATTCGAATCGTTCAACAGATGGCGTGCTCGGTACAGTCTCCTGTGTTTACATTCGAATCGCACGACGTCGGAATCTGCGGCCAGCTTTACGCCGATCACAACCAAGATGGCGTCGCTGTCAACTTGAAAAACGTCTTGTTGCCAACCAGAAAAGAAGTTTAGTTTTTCTTCCCGTCTGTGGAGTTATGTGTGTTGTGTGAGAGTCATGGCTGCACGGCGGCATGCTGAGGACCCTTACAGTGGCCCTGAGTCTGACGGGGAGTACAGCGGGTCACAGAGCGACGTGGATTCCCTCTCCGGGTCGGAGTACTCCGAGTCAGAGTACGCCCAGATTTTTCTTGCTTTTGCAAATCTTCCCTTAGATTTTAGATGCTAGAAGTTGTGTTAAAGATGATTTGAGTGTTTCAAAAGGTCTCATATTCCCGTATGTTAAAGCAGGAAAGAGTTATCATGTCATAACAACACGACTCCTTATGCATGGCGACTTTTCTTTCAACGTTGTTCATTTATAAATAATTTTTTACGTTTATGTTTTTTTTTTTCACGAAATCCAACAAATATACAAGACCCTAACGTAGTAAGTGGCAATGAAAAGTTCGATCTACTCTTAGACATGTTCAGTACCCAATGATACGATACTAGAACTCCTAATATTTATTATTAAAGCTTCAGGTTGACAGATGATTATTCTTATGATAACAATAATGAAGATGAACACCAAATTATGATTGATGGAAATCATACAATATGTTTTATAGATTTCCTTCTCGGGTTTTTGTATTTCTAGTGTGTATTTGATGTTTGAACTCTCTTCTCTAATTCTGCTCAAAGCAGCGTAGTAACCTGTATTTTGTCTTCAATTTGATGAAAAATTTTGCTTTGCCTACAACTAATTGATTATTGTACATTTTTAATTTTATGCAGCACTCATCAATTAGGAAAATATGAACATCGTTTAGATATCTCTCTTCTCTAAGTAAGATACATAGATGTGAAAGTGAAACATAAAAATACAATTGTGGTTGTATATTGCGATGTAACATCAAGGACACGTATGAATATGATAAATTATATTATTTAATAATACTAAATTGCAGCAATTGCTTACAATAAGATTGATGACAATATTTTCCCCACTTTTTCACAGTCCTCGCTGTAAGACCCCAACATGTACAGGGCACACCAGAGTGTCCACTGGGTGGGTGGTATAACCTCGGCAGTGTTCTAGCCAGTGTCCGCCTTTCCTTTATTATTTTGACGGAATTTTGCTGTTCATGACCAAAAAAAACTGTCATTTAACTTTGGCTCTTTGATGGACGAAAATCGGCTGTAAAAAAACTTAGTCTACCAGCAATATTTGCCCCTAAAGTGCAGCATTTCAAGGGGGCAAAATTTCAAATTTTTCCCAGACCCCCTACAATTGAAAAAAAAATCAAGCTGGCTAAAACACAGCCTCAGTCAGTGAGTGTGTTTTGTTGTCAACATTGTCTAACTCAGTGACTAACAAATCAACTACAATTTTTCCCCATTTTCCTGCCTTGCAAGTTATATTAACATCACATCTAGGGTTGATAAAAGTGTTTGGAGTTATTGGAAGCAAGTTTGCTGAGGCTGCTTTCTAATTTATTCCAGGCGCCAGAGAAATGCAAATGTGCCAGTTGTGATAGAATTGCCCTGGCATCGCATATCTTAATGCTCTAACATGTTTTTGTTATTGTTATTGTTTTGTTGTTGAAGATTTTGTCCAAAATTAACCTTTTTCTTTGTACATTTGCACCCTTTTGTGCTTCACTAAATCAGTAATGCTTCTTTCCAGCATTGAAGTGCGAGTAAGGCTATAGGTTGCTCTGTTGACATACATGTGTGACAATATATATGAACAGTCATACCTGTACAATCGACCACCTGTCCTAGGTGACAACCTTTTGGCAAACATTAAGAAACCTGTCTATTATAGTATACACTAGTGACCACGTAGACCAGATTTTATCAGCCCCCTGAGTGGTCTTCTGGCGTAGCTTAATTTGAAAGTTTGACTGTAACTTGTCCGTTTTGGTCAGCTTTGGTCTCCAGTTATTTCTACCTGTAACAAAGACAGAAAGATTGATTTGAAACACATATGAAGGCATATACTAGTAAATGGAAGGTATACATACATGCTAAAGCAAAGTACTAGTATTATCCTGCGCACTAGCAAAGCTTAGTTGCTTAGTAAATGCGAATCAGTTTCAGAGTAGAAGCTGCTTTACTTTATAGGCATCTTTAGTAAATATGTACATGAAAATAGATGAAGTAGAACATTTACATGTGTAACATAGTCCTTTTTTTTTCAAATCTTTTTTTCATCCAAAAACATCCTACTTATGATTTATTTTAATCCTAGTATCACCACTATAGATTATACTGAAGAAGAAATTAATGTAACCAAATTCAAACTTTTACTGATGATTTATTTTATAAGCCTGAATGGCTTACCACCTGTCCAGCAGAAACTAGTACTTTATACAATTTGTTTAAAAAATTCATTTCACCTAAAGATGTTTGTGTATTAACAGCATCATCTAAGTAGAAGGTGTAGATGTTTGAGATCTGTTTGTTCAGGGAATACAGTTAACTAGTAGTTATGAATTCGAACAGAAGTCAGGACAAACTTAGCCCTAAAGAGTTTTCAAGACTGTGTTTGGTTCCCACACAAACCCTCAGGCACACTACAGTAGGGTCGGAGTTCAACAGTCTGTTTACCCACGCCGTGTTTCCTAGCGACTGCTCGTAAACTCGCGCATGATTTACACATCGTACTCTTGACATTCACATGGAGGATGTGTAGGAGTGGAGAGGGGGGAGGGGAGGGGTGGGGTGGTTCCGAGTGTTTGCAGTTGCCGGGCCTTTTGAGCATGTGACGCCACCATAACTGACTTTTGATTGAGGTGCTTATTGACACAGGTGATAGGCACACAGTAATGGGTTACACTTTGTTTGTGAACAACCCTGGAAACTCACTCCGATCAAGAAATGTCAAATCCAAATACTACCGATATACAGAGCCTCACACATAATTATGGCTTGGTGTGGGAATGGGAATAATCGTTCCGTTAACCCTGCAACTTGATCCATGTTTTTGTGCCCACGTTAATCTTCTATTTTGGAACTTCGTCAATGCTAATTCAGGTGTAAGGATTAGTGTTTGATTAATATGTTTGTACAGATTGAGTAGCAGATGTTCGTATTAGAGGTTTAATGAAATATCCTGCTCAGGTCTTGGCATTGGAGATATTTTGCGGCCCGGACTCCTTCTATCTTGGATAGTCATTCTTGGATTGTTCGGTAGAAGTACTTGCACTAGTGAAGACTTTAATTATCGCCTTGTCAGAAGTTAAGTCTGGGGATCTCAGAAGTGATAAAGTGTTTAAAGTCGGCGGCACATGGCATGAAAATAGCTCGCCTGATGATTCTGCAAGCTCAAAGGATAGCCTGGATGCCAGACCCATATTACATGCTAGGCCCAGAGTTAGCCAACATGCCGGTGAATCAGGGCCTAACTGTGGGGGTAAAATTTACCTGGGGTCATGTATACAGACATGTAGTTGGCACTCAGGAGCCAACTGGCCTTTGTAACAGTCTGGTACCCAGGCTACTAAAACTAAAGGACATTTTCAGCAAGAGTAGTAGTACAGCTGGTTACTCATTTACTGCATGATTTTTAAAAGTTCACAGGGCATTAAGCCCAGTTCAGAATGACATTTGGTACTGTAGATTGTTTACGAAAAATAAACCCGACTATCTGGAAATTTTGAAATGTAGTAGCCTTCTGGCAGTCAACACTGAAATTTCCCTGAATGTCATTGACTGTCAATATAACCTAAATGTTTTTTCCAGGTAAATTGGAAAGAAATGAATAGGCAGTGAAAATGTTTGGCAGGTTTTAAAAGTGATTGACTTTTTAGAGAAAGATTCAGATGTAACTGCAGGATTTTTTTGTTGTATTGATTTTTTTGTTTAACTTGTTTAATGTGTTAAGGCCATGTTGATTTGATTATATGGATGACATCCTCCGGGATCCCCAAAACTGATGCGAGCGTGCGGATAAAAAAAAAGTTTTGCAAAAAAAAAAAGTTCTTTTCATTATGAAATCTACGTGGTCATGAGGGTTGAGCAAATGGCACAGAATATGGTTTGGCGAATAATCTACTCTTCAAGTTCATTTCTTTACAATTTCGTCTTTTTTCGTTTGATTTTGGCATTCTACAACATTGGTATAGTTTTTATTAATTTTTTTTGTAACTTATGGTATATTTTTGCTCATTTTGCAACTGTTTTGTACGATTTACAGTATGGTTGAAAACTTTTTTTTTTTGGGAAACGGCCGAAAATTCATGCGCGCGCGGATGTCATCCATATAATCAAATCAATATGGCCTAACCTAAAAACATGCCCACTTCTTTCACCTCTTGACCTATGACATCTAAGGTCATAACTTACGTATGTGGTTATGATGCATGGCAGGTAACTACAACATCAGCTCTTGCTGTGGGGGGGGGGAACTGCAAGGAGCATGATTTAGTCAGGCTATGATTCATTACCTCCTTAAAATAAAAGACATGGAGGTTACATTTTCAGCTGCGTTTGTCCGTCATTTCTTCAACAAGATAACTTAAGAATGGCTTGATGGATTGATTTCAAACTTGGTGCGTTGGTAGGGTGTGACTGAAAATGACAAGACTTTGGGCCCCCTAGTGGCTTCCCTTGGTACTGCAATAGAACTTCTGGTTTTCCAATTTTACCATTTTAAGATGTCTGAAACAAACACCATTGAAGGTGACTAAGATCCAATTTACACACAGGCAAACCTTGGCTTAGAGATTGCATATGACCACGTCCTGTTTACACAAGGTTGGGAGACCTCCCGCTGGGCAACCGTACACAAATTTCATGCGTCAAAGCAGACGCAGTAGGAAAAATTTGACGTATGCAGTTTTCGTAAGCTTGCATGCATATGCAATTTTCATACGTCAGAGTTTTGCCCATGTGTATACTAGGCTTAAAGGTGTTGCATCATATCAGCAGGGTGTTACAGACCAAAGTACATTATCATCTCCTTAACCCAGCACTTGACAGGTCATATATAAACCTTCCCTTTGGGCAATGTTGATGTGATTCTATGGATGACATCCTCTGGGAACAACATAACTGATGTGAGCGTGCGAAACTGTGGGAATAAAAAAAGTTTGGACAAAAAAATTCATTATGAAAGTCACGAAGGTTGAACAAATGACTGAACACACAGTACAGTATGGTGATAGACTCTAATTTTTCATTCCTTCACTTTTCTTCCTTTCCTTTCAAATTGATTTTGGCATTCTATGACGTTAGTATTACTTTTCATTAATGTATTTGTTTTGCAATTTACGGCATACATTTTCTCATTTTGCAGTTGCTTTAAACAATTTGCAATATGGTTTTTCGTGGCAAACGGACAAAAATTCATGCGCACGCAACTGTCATCCACATAATCAAATCAACATGGCCTTTATAACCCCGGCAAATGTTGTTTTGCCAGGACTGATGTCTGTAAAAGTGGCTTGTTGGTTGCCCCACCAAGAGTAGCACCACTTCAACTTTCATTAAAATCCAATACGTCGCTATCTACTTCAGCCTGTTTGATATAGGGCTTAAAGGACCATTCAATCATCCCCTTAAATGTATAGTGATTGCTGTTTTTTGCCCGGCTTAGCAATCCTTAATGGCACTTAAGCCCCCCGTCTTTGATGTGAGATAAGAAACTTGTTTTTTAACGCTGGACTGCTTTTATTAACATCACTGCTGGTTGGTAGAAAGTTATCAGAAGTGAGAGAGGAGGTGTAGCAGATTAGCTTTGTAGTGGTAATTTTTTCTGAAAAGGGACGATTTGGGCATTTAAAAAAAATTTAGTGAATGCGTCGTCGAAAGGTTAGCATCATGTACGGGCCCAGTTGCCAGCCGCAGCCAGGGCGCCGAATGTCGCTGCAGGAACCGATATACTTCCCGCGGCAAACCAACAACGCCGGCGTACGGCGCATCAGTCTCCTCGGCCGTAGACCCAGCCTCCCGACGGCTAGCGTCATTCAGGAGAGCAGCGCTGAGAGCCTGTTTCGTGGGGGCAGCCTGTGTAGCGTAGAGAGTAGCTGGAAAGAAAGCTCAGTGAGCTCACTGGGAGCTAGTGTAGCCAGCCTGGATGGTGCTAACAGTGTGTCTGTCTCCACTTGCAGTAGTTTACCACCAGTATGGGCAGACAAGGTACAGCCAGACGGCTCTCTGTTCTACTTGGAGCAGTACAGCGGAGCCAAGGAACCAAACGGAGAACTACCGACTCCGCCCAATGGGAAAGCACCTAACGGCAACGTCCAACCAGAAAAGAAAGAGCCCACAAAGGAAAGCGGCATCAGCCGCATACGTGGAACTGATCAAGAACGAAGAACAAAGACAGTACAGACGGCGGGCAGTCCGATATGAACGGAGCAGGTCTGTACGAAGTCAGGCTGAAAGTCGACCCAACCAAACTGCAGAAGGAAGCAACGCTAGAAACACTGCTGGGGATCATTCCGAAACCGATCTTGAGAAGCGCGGGCGACGCCACACCAGTGAACTCCCGTATGAAGCAGATCCTTCTACAGACTATACTGCCCGATGGCCCTGCTATTAAAGCCACCCAGCTGAGAATAGGTAAGCACTGTTTTCACATGGATGTCTAACTTAATTATGTCTTATCTGGCATTTAGCATATCTTTATATGGTTTATGGTTGCTAGGTTTATGTGCTATCCTTGTTGTGACTCAGTCGGTCTTACGCACTAAACCACTAAGCATACATGCAGGGGAACCTACTAGTATTGTTGATTGATAGATAGATCAAAGTCAGGCTTGGTATAATTATGAGAGATCAGTACTTGTAGCTGTGTTAAGTTTTACGTTTGACTGTTCGGTCCAGAACTCATAGGTCCTGGGTTCAAATCCACCAACATGTGTAGCTGTTATGCCCTTGGGAAAGGCCCTTAACACGACTTTTTTCTCACTGCACTCAAGTGCAAATGAGTAATCTAGCTTCTGTTAGGGACGTCCCTTGGATAGGACATTGAAATTCTGAATGGAGGTCCCGTGTTTGGGAGAGCCACACCTCACATGTTAAAGATCCCACCACACCTTTCATGAAAGAGTAGGGGCATACCCTGGTGTGGGATGTGTCTACATTTGTATTTGAAAGTTGGTGACTGAGACCAGGAAGAATAGTGTGAAATTTACCCTAAGATCCTAATAAGCAAAAAATGAACATTGTTTCACTGACCTTGTAATGTCTGTCTTGTTGTCCACAGGTGACTGTCTGGTAGCCGTGAATGACTTCAATGTGAACATGGACAACATCAACCAGCTTCTGTCTGCCATTGTCACACCTATGGAGGTAAACACAGTTTTCTTCATCAACAGTTACTTTTGCAATAAGCTGACCTTACTCTTCCAAAAATAATCCCTATGCACTTAATATTCTCAGGACCATAACACAACATTGATTACTATAGGGCTAATTTGGATGGATCTGGTTTATCAAAATAACAATGGTAGATAAAACTGCACTGTTTGGTGTAACTGCAAGGGGGCGTCCTGACCATTCCTGAGGGTGCAGTTCACAAATACTTTGATAGGGGGCATTGCTGTACTGTCCCACAAGGAGAGGCGAGGTAACTGTACAAATGTACATCCATACATACATACTTGCATTCATATGAGCACTAGTATTTACTGAAAAGAATTTATCAACAATCAAATCCTGAGGAAAAGTTAAAAACCTAAATGCAGCTGAGCAACAAACAAATACAGAGTGAATTTCACTTACATGTAACTCTAAGCAACCTCCTTGCTCTAACTTTGGAAAATTTGGTTCATAATTTGGTAACTTATACACAAAGGTCCTCAGGCTGGCCATGTTAAACTATTATCAATATACATGTATATGGAGGTATATAGTAATGTTGATGACCATTGTAAAAAGTTGTAGTGTGATTTCCATACCTTTTGTGTCACTCAGTCAAAGTGACTATTGCATGTAAAATGCTAGAAATTCTCCCCCAGAAACAGGTAAAAAGTTCCTTATAAGTTTGCCATATTTTGCCCTTAAGGGACTGCAGATCATAAAATGCAACATGTCTACACACATGTGTAGTGTGATCTATAGACACTGCACATGCAATATATGAATGAGTAGTGTCTTCATGAAAAAAGGCAGTAAAATCTTTTCATTCTAATCTCCAAGCAAATCCTGCAGTGGCTGCCTTACAATATCAAACTGGCCAGGTACATGTAGTATCCATTTGCCAGCCAGTATTCAATATGCCACCCCAAGTTTGGCTGGCCAAAAAAAATACCAGTGCTAAAAAAGAGAGCCAAAAATAAAAAGGCCTAAAAACATCTCAAAAATGAGCTTAAGTATAAACCTGCATCAGAGACACTGCAGTCCATCAATAGAAAGGATACATGTTGTAGAATCTGAAGTATCAAACAGTAAAAACAAAACTGTTTGCTGAAATATTGCTTTCCCAAAACAAAATGAATACTTGTGGAGTAGAACAACTTTCCTTACCTTTCGTCTGCTTGTCACAGATAAGACAACTCTTTTAGGCTTGTGATTTTAGCCCATAGGACTCTAGCAGACTCACTGTAGCCAGCACCCATTTTTCTGTTAGTTGCTGCTACAACTTTGCAGCGTGTCACGGAAAGAAATCTAAACCAACCTTGACAGATGAAATTGACAAAATTCTTGGATAAAGATATAAAATCATCTAAAGGTTCACTGAAATCACTCTCAACTCCATGATTTACCTTTTAAAATGTGGGGAAAATTGCATTTTTGAAGGCTTGAAAATCCAAAATTTCACAGGGGAGCATGCTGTACTCAAGTCACACCTACATGTACATTACATATATGTACAACGCTCCCCCCAGGTCTGATCATGAAACTGATGAGCTGACGGAAAAAAATTTCGAGCTGGCTAGAGCCCTAGCCTATATATATGTAAGAATACTGTATGACAATGGACAGCCTTTTCTTTCCATACCTCTGTGTATAGTGAGACATGTCCTAATTCAGTCAGTCTCCTGAGAAGTCCAGTCAGTAGAACGCGGCACACAAGTGTCACGTTCCTGGTGCCATCCCAGACATAACGCACATCGTTCTGCCCCCCAAGTTTGCATAAACATCCTGGCAACATGTCACGCCATGCACGGCGGAGAACGAAAGGATTCCATTCTCCAGCTGATGCACAACAAACAGAATGTGTCCCAAACTACTCAGCTGTGTTTTCCCTACATGTGTGCCAGGGCTCTCTATAGCCAGCACCCATTGTTTCGTCAGTTGCAGGAACTTTGCGGCGTGTGACGGAAAATTTTTCAATCCAATCTGTCAACCTTGACAGACAATATTGACAAAAACCTTGAGAAAAATATAAAACATCCAAATAAAAGGACTAACAACAACAACTCTCAACCACATAATGTGCCTCTTCAAAATGTGGGAAATTGCATTTTTAAAGGCCGGATAATCTAAAAATTTGCCCCTGGACCCCTGTAGATTGCAAGCACTCTCCCCACAGGTCCAATCATGAACCTCGGCTGACGGAAAAAAAATTGAGTTGGCTAGAGTCCTGATGTATACCAATCTCACACATACAGAAACATTTATCCCTAAACACAAAAAGACAAGACAAATGTCAAAACTCTACATGACCTTCCAAGATCATATGATGTAGTGTTAATGTTTGTTTTTACCTCGAGGGTAAATACTTTCTGTTTACAGTTAAGTTTATGGGAAGTGGGTTTCCTCGGCATGAGAAAGTGTTACAAAGGCAGTGAGTCTATGGGATTGGGAGGATTCAAGGCATAGCCGGCGCCCGCCCACCCTGGAGCACCCATGCATGTCCTGAACAGTCACGCCTACGAGCGGCTGTGATTTGCATGTATTACGACTCAAGTTTCCTTCAGTGTCAGACTGTAGAGAGAAGAGACGTGTGTGTGTGTGTGTGAGCATCACACTGCATCTAGCTATGCCAGGAATGGTCTAGAGAGTAGCATCGCTTTTCCTTAGCTAGGTTTGGGAAACAGTCGGTAGACAGAAACATGGAGTGCGGTAGTGGGGAAAAGCTCGTACGACCGAACAAACGGGTTATACTTTCAGAAGAGGAAGAAGTCACATGTACAGGTAAGCCCTGTCACCGACCCATTGTTGAACTCCCTTGGACCATACGTATGTCTGGTATTTCCTGTCTCTTAGTCCACTCTCACCAGAGTGTAGAATTTACTGTTAGCAGTTGGTGCTGTTTTCATGTGGGAAGGGAGACGCTCGAGAGGATGACATGGCTAGTTGCTCGCCGTTCTTTCCCTTCCTTAGTGAAAGCCAGCAAGAGTTATCTCCTAAACCTCACACAAAGGGCGTGCTTGACCCAATGAGTCGTTCGTGTTCACAGTCGAACGAGCAGATATTAGGGAGCCCACTCTACCCCATAGAGAGCAAATTTGCTGAGTGGTCTATGTGTCCCCAGTCATTCAAACAAGTGCCACTCTCTATTCACCGGGCTGTTAGCCAGGCCTTGTTTGCGGCAGTGCTCCTGAGTTGTACCATTGATGGAGTGTAATTGCCCACTGATTGTGGCCCTTTCACCACCTGACAGGTTGTACCAATGGTGGCATTGTTCGCACAGAAAAGTGCACTTGTCCCCGGGACATCTGTCGTCGTAACGTACTGTTGGGTTGACGTGTAACAGGTGCCACAATGTCAGTACACACGTGCATTGTTCAACCTTACAAGAAATGTTAGGAATGTAGCAATGGAGTAAGTTTCTTCCTAGTAAAAAAGCGAATGGTTTGAATTCATGATAAATGTAAGGCCGTGTTAATTTGATGATTATGGATGTCATCAGCGCACGCAGTCTGTTTCCAAAAAAGTTTTTGACCAAAAGTAGCAAATATATACATGTGTGCTGTAAGTTGTAAAAAAATTGGAAAAGGATACTAATGTCATATGCCAAAATTAATTCTAAAGAAAAAGAAGAAAAGGTATAGAAATGAAAATGCCATAATCTGTGTGTTCAGTCATTTGTTCAACCTTCATGATCACAATTAGATTTCATAATGAAGGCAACTTTTTGGTGACAAATCAATTTTGAGGATGTCATCCATATATGGACACCATGCTGAAGACATTAGGATGGCTGACTGTCAGGGACAGAATCCAACAGAGAAGCCTTGTCACATTTAAACGTATCATGCTCACCAAACAACCAAAGGCCTTGTACGACAAAATCACATTCCAATCTGAGATCCACAAGTACAGCACACGTTCAACCAGCACAAACAAAATCAGACTACCAAAACCAAAATCAAACTCTCAGAAAAAGCGCTTTATGTACAGGATGTCACACACGTGGAATAACATAGGCAACTAGCAAAGTACTGGATTGTAAATAGTGAATTTGTGTAAAGTTTGCCATGTACTGTTAATTTTGTAATGTTTTTGTACGTTTGTAATATATGTATGTAAATATGAATGTGTAGACCACAGGAAGAATAGCCTCTTATGAGGCTAATTGTGGATCTGAATAAAACTGAAACTGAAATATCAATCAAATCAACATGGTCTTCATCCTCAGACAAAAGCTACAAGGCACTGGTTAAGTCATCCCTGCGACTTATTAAGACAATGATTACATGTCCTGTGAGTGGCCTTTATTGACCAGTTTGACTGTTCTGTTGACAGTTAGTGACATCTTCCCGTTTCCCCAGGTCAAACTTACCATGGAGCCTGCGCCTGAGCCATGGGAGCCACCCTCACCCTCACCCTCCGTAAGAGAACCAGCCAAACCCAGCCAACTGGTCAAACTGGTGAGCGGACAGGACGTCTCCACGTACCAACACATACTGGAGAGGATTCCACACATCGTCATGTACCTCACCATGGGCAGTGACTCCAACAACACTCACAAGGAAGAGGTACGATCCATATCCAAATGGCATCTTATTCCTCTGCTGTACTGTACAGAGATAATGTGCTGGTTTCTCCAGAGCCTCAAACCATTAACGTTGGTTGTTGTTGTTGGTTGTTGTTGGTCACAATTGTTGTCATTCTTAATAGAGGTTAAGTATGATGCAGCATTGTCTTCTCTGTCTACTATAATGTGCAATGTGGCTTTGCTACGGCTCGCGTACATGTATATAGGGGTGATGATGTAAATCTTCATCTTCTTCTTATATTAAGGGTTTGCCAGGCCTTCATCTTGGTGATTTGAAGACTGTGAATTATCAACTTCTAAATTATAGTACATGTACTTGGACCATCGCACACCGGGACATGCACCTACTCTTTTTCGAAAGGTGTGGTGGGTTCTCAAACGCACGTGGGTGTGGCTCTCCTCAAACACAACACCTCCAGTTTATGTCCTATCTGAGGGAGTCCCTGACAGTAACAGTGATTTGATAAAGTTGTATCCCTGCCTGAGTGATGGGGTTTATAACAATGGCAACAATCCCCGTGATGCCTGTCCATTCTGTCCTTTGTTGCGACAGTGCGACACGTAAACATACTGCGGTCTGGTACAGAAAACATCACATCAAAGCTCGCTGGTCGAGCCTCTGCAAACACCGCATTTCTGGCATTCTGTTGCCATGACAACCATTGAGGATGGCCGACAATACTCTATTTGTCATGTGGTCTGGTGAGAACCACCCAGAACGTTCCAAAATGTTGTCTTCACAAAGCTCTTCAGCCCACCAACACTTACTACACTGTTCTCTGTTTGAGTTTGGATGTTAATTCTCATGACTCTCTGCTGGAGTTGAAAAAAAAATGATTACTAAATTTGAGAAATTTCCTAGATTATATGCAACTCTCTAGTACTAATGTAGCACTTTGGCAGAACGTACTGCACCTGTGCAAAACCTGGGTTTTCACTATTTTTGTGGGATGTTTGGTCAATGTTGCATCAGAATTTAGCCAACAATATATTTCCTGACACAACAATCATTTAAAAACTGTAGATGGGATGTCATCCTTAATATGCAAATATGACCTTAAACAAGACATTGTACAAAAATGCTGTATGGGTTTCGGGCAGGCCCAGTATGTTATGCCGACATGCTCTCTAGTACTAAATCTTAAAAACAATAACATATCAACATTTTCTTGATAACTAAACCCTCTATACAGGGAAAACTTGTCAATGTCCAAAGAGCCTAAGAAAATTTAAAACTTTTCTCTGAGTTTGTCAGTAGAAACCAAATCTTGCTGTCTCCAACATGAGGTACATGTAATTGGAATGCAATATACTGACCCTGAGTGCTAACAAATTGCAAAATGATGTTAAAAGATGAAAGCTAGTACCAAGGGTTGATCACAAAAGAACATTGAAGCAACTTATTAAAACCGTGTCCTCAGTCGTCAAGTGTCTGTTGCTATAATCAAATTTTGTCTGTGTCACAAATGAGCCATTCTTGTCCTTCTGTGGAGCAATTACAACACAAAGTCAGTGAAAAGAAGTTCATCAGGAAGGCAAGGGTGACAAGGTGGTCTTGTGGTTTAGATTATTGACTCAGGAACCAAAGGTTCTGGGTTCAAATCCCTGGAAGGCCCCATTGTAAATGTCCTTGGGAAAGGCACTTTACAGCTATTCTCTCACTTGATACAGGTGAAAATGAGTCCCTTAAGCTTCGGTTAGGATGTAAAGTGTTAAAGGAGAGCCACACGTCAAGCAGGTTAAAGATCCTACCATACTGATCATATTCAAAAAGAGCCTGGGTTCTTCCCTTTGTGAGTGGCTCGAATCTTACAGCCTGTCTCTTTGACATCTCGAGGAGGCGATAGTCACCTGTTATGTCAATCCTTCACAAATGTGGTAAATCTTAAATATGATAAGTATGCTTAAAGAGTCCTCCATTTCTTTATGAACACCATTTCTTTATGTGTTTTGGTACTTTTTGTGCCAAACGACCTAATCAGGAATCAGCAATATTACAGAAAAGAGAAACAGCTTAGTTTCTCAAACCAAGAATCATGAAAACTTTACTAGACTTTCTTTTCAAATCATATGTCACTTCTCAAAAATTCTATTGACAGACAATGATGCCTGTACAGTAATGGCAATGTTCTGGCATGTCGAGTGCCATGAACAGATTTGTGGTGGCTTTCCGTCCTTGGTTCCTGGACTTTCAAGCCTAATTTGCAGGATCCGTGCCCAGCTTTCTGTGCAAGAGGATAATCTCCCTAACCAGGAGTGTATGGTTGTTTGGTGAAGAGATTTAGTTGGTTTGAGTTTCGGCTGGCAACATACCCAGGATTTGCAGGCAGGAGTGTTGCCTAATGCCTTGAACACACACGCGGGGTAACAGTCCCCACAACATTCTTCACTGATTATCTCCTGCGCTAAACAAGTATCTTCAGAGACAAATAGCATGGAACAGATCAAATAGCTTTGTTTTTGTAACAGCTTATACAAAAAATTTAGGGACTCAAGTGTTTACACCATCCTTGTAGAAGGAGGTAGACGTTACAAGGGAACAAAGTCTAGGATTCTGAACCTGCGTTCTAGCCAGCCTGACTTTTTTGTCATTTCAATTTCATTTGACTTGATTAACATCATTTCCTGTGTTGAATCCTCAACAAACCTAAGGGGAGCCGAGGGCAATATTGAAATCCCGACCCTCTGAAACACGTATTATTTCCTGCATTTTGAGGGCAAATTTTGCTGGTATTTTTGTCCATCAAAGATGACAGATTGGGCAAAATTTTAGTCGATTACGAGAGGCAGAATTCCGTCAAATGATGGAAAGACGGACGCTGGCTAGAACACTGCTCTGAACACATTTGGTAATCAACCATCGAAGACTTCTGAATTTGGAATGTAAAATATTGTTATCAATATACATTTATAATTATAACATTAAGATTCAGTATCTACAGAGGATGTCATCTATTCAATTTACCTGGTGTGGTCTGATGTGTCATGTTAAACCTGATCTGTGTCCTTATACATTTTGTACATTATGTTTCCTGAAGTTGTAACTGGTGTGCTGTATACTAACATGATGATATCTGACTTGACAGGAGATCTTGTACAGCTACCCTGATAGTGATGCCTCCAGGAGGCTGAAGAACATCCGAGGCATGTTCATCACTGTGGGAGACATTCTACAGAACGTCACAGGCACCAGAGTTAAGAGGTAAATAATTAATATCATTCTGTATTGGTATAGCCAGTATCGCTGGGCCACAAAAGTGCAATCACTACAGCAGGGGGCTAGTCCGCTGGTGGTAAGTGGTGTGTTAAACTCCCATACTCGTTCCCAAATGCTGAGTGCTAAGCAGAGCAAGCAGTATGTACCATTTTTAAAGTCTTTGGTATGACTTGGCCCGGGATCGAACTCACTACCAAATACAAGGTGAAAACTCTACCCACTTGGCCATTGCACTGGTTTGTGTATACTAGTATGAAATTGCAGTCACATAATATCAGAACTACATGTATGGAGTTATTGTCAATGTTGTTTTGACCATTTTCAGTTCGACTCTGGTTGTTGACAAACAACACATCCACATCGGCTACTGGAAGAAAGGTCAACACCTGCTGGTGCTGGGGTTACCTGGGGACAAGGTCAAGGTGGAGCAGCTGACCCACATGGTCAGTGACGTGGTCCGATTCCTGACTGTCATCTATGGATCAATAGAGAGGTGGGGAAAAAAGAGATACAGTCAAACATGTCAAACTACAAAAACTTAATAGTCAAACTACAGTCAAACTTGTCAAACTACAAAACAGTCAAACTTGTCAAACTACAAAACAGTCAAACATGTCAAACTACAAAAACTTAATAGTCAAACTACAGTCAAACTTGTCAAACTACAAAACAGTCAAACTTGTCAAACTATAAAAACTTAATAGTCAAACTACAGTCAAACTTGTCAAACTACATACATGTAAGTCAAACTAAGGCCATGATTTAAAAGGCGTTTCGGTTTGGCCATGAACCGAAAGCCAAAAGCGGTCATAATGGCCAGATGACCGGCGTATAGAGGTGGTCATGTTGGCTGGTTTGACTATACATGTACATGTAATATGTATCACGGTGTTAGAAATCGATAATAATATTGCTAACTGGCAAATAGCAAATTGAAAGTATCAAACTGTGTCTTTTCTTCTCTCCAGTGCCTTTTCTACGACGGCAAACATAAGCCAGCTGGACCACTTCTTTTCCCTGCTGTTCAAGAGAGTGCTGCTAGGGGGCCAGATGTCGTCCAGTCTCCAGCCAGACGACAACAGTTCAGCAGTGATGGACATGATCATGGCAGTCCCAACACTGCACATACCCGAGGACATCAAGGTATTCTTTTGTTGGAAATGTGGCATCATGTGGTCAGAGTGTTCGGCTCGGAACAAAGAAGTCCCGGGTTCTTACCCGACATGCCCGTAATGTATTGTGCATATAGTACTTTCAATTTCCCATATAAGGTCGTATCTGTGTATATAAGGTTAACATCCCTACTTTAGTTTTCAAATGTTGCCTTTGAGACAATTTGAAAGTTGTGTGCTGTAATGGAGCACGTCGTCAGAATGTACTGCGCTTGCGCAAGACCCTGACTTTTCAAGGTTTTCGTTGGTCAACGTTGCATTAGAATTTTGCCTGTTACAGACAATATCTTTTCCGACACAACATTTGGAAACTAAAGTAGGGATGTAAACCTTATATACACAGCTACGACCTTATATTGGGAAATTCTGCCAATTGAAAGTACTATGCACAATACATTACGGGCATGTCGGGTTCGAACCCTGGACTTCTTTGTTCTGAGCCGAACACTCTGACCACACTATGCCACATTTCCAGCAAGAGAAGCACCCAGTTACCTCACAAACTCACTGAACTGTCCAACTGTACCGACTGTTATCCTAAGTAATAGATCCTCCAAAAACCCTTAAGAATCCCCTTCACCAAAATGGCTGCAGCTCTATTGTACAAGATAAATACTGGTCAAGTAGGGGAGGGAAAGGTTAGGGCCCTACTTTTGATGCCCGTGGCTCTGGAAAGGGTTGAATGACTCCTGACAGGGGTGTAGGCTTTGCAAACATAAATATGTTTGACCTCTGACATACATTTCTGTAGCTGGCTCACAGTAACGTTCATGTTTCCAAAGTTATAAGCACTGTGTTAAAGATGACATTAAGTATACGTCAATTCAAACCACACTCACTCAAAACAAGCTTAATTTACAGTACTTTTACTAACTTGTTGTCAGCCATGCACAGGAAATGTGTATCAGATTCTGTAGTGTTATATAATGTCTGATCTTGTGATCAGTGTTCCAACTGTCAAAAAATCTGCTTGTACATGATGTCTCTTTCCTATGTACAGACTCCATTGGATGCTGCCCTAAGTGAGTTAGAAGCTGCTGACTTTGCCGACATGGTAAGGCCTCTTCCCTCTTATTTGTTAGTATTCTGTAAGCAAGTCTGTTCTGCTTTTTGCCAAGGTACACAGCACCATGCACTTTGTTAGCTCAGGCTCAGTATGTTGAAATACATGTAGGCCAAGTTGTCTTTATCTTCAGCACACAGAGTTGAAACAAACGCATGAACGCTGTCACCAAACCACCACGAATCATTTGAATTTGTAGTATTTTAGAGTTGTAGCTGAATTCAAAGTTTTGGCAGCAAAATGTTTTGGGTTTTGAGGTTCAGATACGTTTGAAACTAGGTTGTTTCTAATGCATCTCTTGAGGCATCAAGAAGCCTTTCAGTTCAGAAAACCAGTGTTGTTACAGTGAGAAGGGATGTTGTTGTAGCTGTACCCACACATGTCAACACAGGGCTAAAAGGTCTTATGTATAGCTGGTTTTACATGTACCAGTGTCTTTTATACATGTACATACCTTGGAAAGACAAAAAGAACTGAAAAAAGTCTTTAACTTGATATACCGGTAGCTCAAACTTGCTTCATGTAGCAATTTATATTTCTGCACTACTCTATGAAACATTTGTGATATTACAAATTAGTTGTATGGCATTTGGTCTTGTTAGAAAACATTTTTAGATAGTAAATGTACATACTTACTACTTGTAAATGTACATGAGAGTGTAAAATATTAAATTATGTTAGACAAATTACACTCTACATACATGTATGAGAAAAAAGAATTACAGTACCTTCTTTGTAAATTGTTATACTTCTGAATATTCATGTTAACATTTTGTTTCTATGTTGGCTTCAGTCTGATGACTACTATGAGCTGAGGAGGGCATTCACAGTACTGGGAAGCTGTATGTTCTACAAAGTAAGTAAATAAGTACACTGTACCAGTGTCAAACATGCATTGTTCAACAAGTTATACAATGTATAGCATTTGTGCTGCATGTTGGTAATGGTTTTTGTCATTGGGACAAACTCAGTGTAGTGCACACATCTACACATTTGCCACTGAGAGCTAAAAAAATTGAATTGTTTGATTGATTGATTGATTGATTGATTGATTGATTGATTGATTGATTGATTGATTGATTGATTGATTCCAGGGTCTCCTGGCTGCTAACCACCTGCCCAGAGAAGACCTGCTGGATGTGTTCCTGTACTGTCGGTACTACTGTTTACTGGCACTGGCGTCCGAGGAGAGGGTGGGCCAGCTGGTGCTGTGGAGAGAAGTCCGCCCCACACGCAGGTTTGGCCCTGAACACAGAGAGGCCGACGCCCCGGGGTACAGCGAGCCGGAAGGACGCTGGTTCCTTCTGATTGTAGGCTTGGTAAGCCCCTAGGTCTGGGATAAAATAACGTACAGTAGTGTTTCCTGTTTCCCGACTGACCCTTGAAAAACCTGCCAACCCTAGACTTTTTTGGGATGGACCCCTGCAAGGGGCAAGCTGATCAAGTTTTTCTAGCTCCATGATCAGACACCTGAGAGAAAAACGTTGTACGATCAGTTTTCTAACATCGACATTGAAAATTAAAGTGTCCTCATGTTTTACTTTAAGTTGGACCCCTAACTTAAGTACATATTTAACATGAATTTTTGCCCTCTCCAGAGACACTGGCTGTCTGCTACTCTATTGGAGGCAGGAGGCTGTGCGGAGAGGTGAGCCAAGCCTTCTAATGTTTCTACTTCACAGAGATTGTATTGAATTCACAGCAAATCCTCCTCCTTTTCCCTCATATCAAGAAATAGTATAACCTTGGAAGTACAGTAAATTACTTTGAAACTTGAATAATAAACGTTAAAACCTTAATAAGTACTGAGTTTTGTACCCTGTGTTCCCGACCGCAGAGCGGAGGGTAGTGTGAGTCCTGACCCTTTCCTGGTGGACCAGGCTAAAGCAGTCATTCTGCAGCTGGAGACACAGAACGTCGGAAACTTGTTTGAGGACAGGTAGGTGTTGGGAATACAGAAACATGAAGTAACTAAGCTGGTTTGGCTGTAACAGTAGTACTGTACATGTTAAAGTAAAGGCCAAAACGCAGTATAAAATCCACATTCTTTGTGTGAACTTCCCTCAAATTGCATTAAGCTAGGCGTGGTTGGATCTGTCACACAATTTTGTGTCCACAGCGATCTACAAGAACTTTTTTTCTTACAAGACAGCTGAATTTTATACGATGCATCCACAACTGTTGATCAATTTGATATCCTGAACCTGAACAGTAACTGAAAATCTCCAAGCAGATGTTTTGGTGGCTACAAAATTGGCCAGGCAGTATCCTTTTGCATGGGGAGTTCCCATTTGCCAACCCTAGGGTTAGGCTGGCAAAAAAAAATACATTGTACCGGTACAAAAAAGAGGTCCTGAGAAAAACACCTACACATGCCTTAAACATGCCAAAAATAAGCCAAAGCTTAAACCTCTGCTTGGAGAGTACATGTACATGTATGACTGTGATAGGGTGGCTCCTTTAGTTAGTTAGCTTAGACAGAGACAATGTACTGAAATGTCTCTGAATGCATGAGTGTGACCTGTACTGCTTGTATTTCCCTGCAGACTGCAGTCCCCGTCCAACCCTGCCCTGTCCTGTGCTGAATGGTTCCTCCCCTCCAGTAGAGAGAAGTCCACCAGTAATGCCAGCAGCACCAGCAGTATCCTGGGTACTCCTGTCCTGGGTAGGCACCAGAGCAGCTCACCAAAACCTCTCAGACTCTTCCAGAAGAGTCCACAGAGTTCTTTCTTACAAGGTGAGTCAGAAATGTGTTCAAACTAACACAGCAGCTCACCAAAACCTCTCAGACTCTTCCAGAAGAGTCCACAGAGTTCTTTCTTACAGGGTGAGTCAGAAATGTGTTTAAACTAACAGAGCAGCTCACCAAAACCTCTCAGACTCTTCCAGAAGAGTCCACAGAGTTCTTTCTTACAGGGTGAGTCAGAAATATGTTTAAACTAACATAGCAGCTCACCAAAACCACTGGCAGAGGAGTCCACAGAGCTCTTTTAGTATAGTTCATGTTTCTACCCAAAAGGCTTGTATTTTTCTTCCATACATTGTACCTGTTACAGTAGTTGAGCAATAAAGTTGATTTGATTTGTATTCCTGTTTGTTAGTACCAGGAGCCAGAGCCGACGGAGACAATGTCAGCCACTCCGGGAGTGAACACAGCGGCAGCGGAGTGCCGTCATTGGGCGGAGACAGTCCCCACTCCACACCTAGCCTGGATCGCAGGCACTTCAGGAAACAGTCCGAGGGGTCGGGGTCTGGGCAGTCTGGGGAGAGTGGAAACAGCAGTGGACTTTTCAAGGTGAAGAGTGATTCCTGAAAGGGTGGAGTGAGACTCTTTTTACACAACCAATTTATTCAGACGATGGTTTGGTGACCATCTGTCACCTTCCTCCGGGCAATTCTGACTGGTTCATTGCCAACTATAAAATATTTACATATTTACACGGTTACTGGGAACTATATCTACAATGCAATCCAGTCAGAATTGCCCTGAGGAAGGTGACAGACGGTCACCGAATTGTCGGCTGAATATAACACTTGGTTGTATGAAAACAGCCTGTCTCTTTATTCAGTGACTTACAAACCTGATGAAACTATTCGTAGCAGGATTGAGTGATTGAGTAAAAGAAAAGATGTCTAAACCCTGGCCTTGGCCAACCCTCTTCACAAGTTAGTCCTGTCTATATAATTTTGAGTGAGAAAAATACCGTCAGCTCTCTTGTAAACTTTCTTGCTTTGTGTTTCAGGTGAAGAGCAAGAGGCTGATTCCTGATGCTTTTGAGATGTCCAATATCAACAGAGTACTGGTGGGACAAGACAAGGAAGAGTTGTCTTATTCAACAAAGTATGAATTATTGTACAGTCAAAAAGTCGTGTATTATACATCAGCAAGTATTGTAATCCTTTAAACTTGTTTTTTTTTAATGCATATGGCATAAATGCAATACAACATGGTGTACTCTGCATCACCCTCGGTCCTAGCCCTTCTGCAGGTTGGATCTCCCTCCGGCTTTCAGGCAATCTAACTACAGTCGGACTGGTACCTCGGATGATACAGAATACACGGCCGTGTTGTATTCAAATACATGTACATGTCTGTTGTAAGGTAGATTTGTCTGATAGTACCAGCATGTCTTTTGCTACTAGTATATGTTGTACATTTTGTACAATAAATGATTTATTGTTGTGTAATGAAGTATATATTCTATTGCCAGACTGACGTGTGGAGTAGACAACACGTTGTTCCACTACCTGACAGTGAACACGTCGGCGGGTGTGGTGGTGTGCCCCACCCATCAGGATGTGGGCAGGCAGGGCGGGGCTCTCCACATGGACGTCATCAGGAACTTCTACTGCTGCTGCCAGACCATCCACGCCATGTTTGAGAACAGCGCACAAGTCAAGGTACATTTTGTACAACAAATCAAATCAAATCAACTTTATTGCTCAACAACTGTAGCTGGTACAATGTATGGCAAAGAAACAACAATGGTACATATGCAAACTAATACTAAAATATGATTCTAACGAGCTAGTCCATAATGATACTAAAGCTAAGCTATGGTGTTTTCTTAGGAAGAGTATTATGATTACATTCTGTAATTCGGGGGATATATCAGCTATTTACAATATGGTGTTGCTTTTGTAGTGATTCAAATATGAATTTCCCAATGTACACTGATATATGAGTAGGACATCAGGGTTTCAAACCTCTGGGAAGTTTACAGTTTGAGTGATATACATGTAGGGATTTTCTTCTTCAGACCATCTCTTTGGTTGTGTGAATAAATTCACTCAAACTTATCAAAATAATTTCATCAGGCTGGTACATGTAGGACATAGAATATAGGGATTTTCTTATTACACAAACATGGTAGTGTTTATTACCTGCTTATGTTTCAATTCCTGTCAGTCATCTTCGTGAGAGCTTCTAACTGAGTACTGCTTCTCACCGTCCCTTTATGGAAGCGTGCATATCGGTTGAACAACAACAGCCGGGATTCAAACTACCAAAAATTAGTCTAGAGGCAGGGTTACTATCCATTGAACTATACACACACACTATATATACAACACATGTTACACCATCTGGTCATGTTTTCACTCTGCATTGCTGTGCATTTCTTACAGGAGCTGAGGGACAGGCAGGTTGACGGCCCTCTGCACACAGAGAGTCCACTGGGAGTCATCACGGAGCAGGGCGTCCTGTTCCACTGTGGACCTGCCAACCTGAACGACTCCAAACGGGGCACGCCTACCATCACATACTGGGTTGTAGGGTAAGCATCATGGCAGGAACTTACATTTGTACTTGTAACATCTTTCAACTTAAAACTTTTGTTCCAACATGAGAAATTGTTCTCACCTAGAGCTGTCTACCAGTCACTCTGGTCTTCTTCAATAGCCTGACCCAGTGAGACTTGTCACATGGCTTCTCTGAAGTGTGGTGTCAACACTGGGTCAAAGGTATCTGGTAAACTACAGTATCTGGTAAAAAACTGGGTCAGTCTATTGAAGGAGACCAGAGTTACTGGTTGAAATCTCTAGGTGATAACAGTCTCTTGAGTTGGAATGAAATTAATGTTTCAACTTTAAACATGTAACTACCAACTCAGATGAACTTTCACGACAGTATGTAACATCTTTGTTTAAGGTCAGTTTTGCCAATCAAATTTCTTGGTTCTTGCTTACCTGCAGTTAAAAAAAAAAAACAATGCCTGAAGAACAGGATTATGTTTTGGTACACTCATTATGGGTTGATAATTCAAATCTTCTTGAAAATTAATTTTTTTTGTCTCCCATTGTAGGAGACTGTACATGGCCAAGGAACCCAAGGAGGTTTTTGTGTGCTTCCAGGACGGAACCCAGGACAATGTTGTGGAGATGGCATTCAAACTTCTCTTTGGTACAGACCTGTGAGACCCTCTAATCTGTGTTGTCCAGTGAAGGACATGTCAGAATCACAGTCAGGGCTTGAAATACTGGGTGCATGTGCACCTTAGTGCACCCAAATTTGGAGCTGTGCACCCAATTCTTTTCTGTGGGTGCACCAGAGCACCCGAATATTTTCATAGGTTTACATAATGTAAAAAAGTGTATTGTAGTATACAGCATATTCTTAAATTCTAAGTGTCAGAAAAATAATAAAATTATTGTAGTAGTACTTTGCTTTAGATATGAAACATGTTAGTTTTTGCTAGCATTCTACTTATTTTATTTTATATGGTGCACCCAAAAATATTTTTGTGCACCCAATATTTTTAGGTTGAGTACACCAGTGCACCTACATGAAAAATGAATTTCGAGCCCTGACAGTTTTGTATCTGTATAGCCAGTATAACTGCCCTTCTAATTTGGCAATTCACACTTGTTATTTTGAAAAGAAAAAACTCAGGATTATACATTGTCATTAAAGCATGTACAGTATTATTGTGCTGATCAGTTCACATTAATTTTATTGATATTGACTGGCATATCACAATGTTTATATTAAAGATATACATCAACGTCCAAACATTTACACATTACAAAAAATTGTTTCCTGTGGAATCGTTTTAAGAAACCGTATGGAGGCATTCCATTGCTATCTTGAATGCAAGTATTTATGAGCATAGTTATTTAATGATGCAGTTATCCTACCCTTACTAGTATGTGTACATGTACTGTAAGAGAGCCTACTTGCTGTTACAGTAATGTATGAGCACATTTTGTCGTTTGACATCAAGTAACAGTGAAGAGGTATCATTTTCAATACTTCTCATGATTTGAAACTAGTTTACCGCAAACCAACATTCCATTTCTCAATTGTAGACATTGTATATAAGTCGAGAATGTGGCCATGTATGGTAGTAGGTGTTTGTTGGATAATGTTGTTGACATTATTTCAGTGTATACATATGTACAGAGTAATTTTGTATCATGTTTGTATTGTCACTCTTCCTGAAAAATGGAATAAAGTGGATTGTAAGCTCCAAGATGTTCAGTTTCTGATTACTTGACATATATATACTGTTTAACACTTTATTTGATCAACAATATCCAAATACTCTTGTATGTTTTCAGTTATTAATAGATGTTGTAGAAGATCTTACGAAATCGCTGTACTTTTGTTGCGTCAGTAAAGATGTCTGTGTTATAGACGGTATGTACATGTACTGATTAAAGAGAATGAGAAAAGTCACAAATCCCATGTCCCGCCCACCCTATACTATTTAGTATAACATATTTATTAAGAAGAAATAATATTCTGCTGCCCATCAGAAAACCTTTGATATCTGCACCCAGACTTCCCTAGTCTGGTTACCAGACCTATTTTAGCTCCCGAGTCTATATCCTCTCCGCAAATATGTCTGGTATTAAACCAGGCTAAAGCTTGACATTTTGACCGATGGACATAAAGTTGTACTTTCCCAATATACCGCTAGAGGGCGCTAATGTGCAGTCCACAGCAAGATATAGCATCCAAACGTTACGTTAACACAAGCTCTCTTCGTCATAGAATACATCTGATTTTCATACACAATATGATTTGTATCACCAATTAAAATCACAACATCAATTCTTTGTCTTTATTTTCCTGACATTTTACGCGAACTGTACGGAATCTCAAGAGTGGTGTTTTGTTGCGTTACGATGCGGTTTCGTGTGTCGTCTGCTCCATTGCTTGTCATCAGTCAGAAAACCGGCCAGTTTTTTTTACCCTCTAAGCCTAACATTGCAAGAAACACAGCTTCTCAGTAAGGTTTGTACCCTAGACAAAGTATCCAGAAACAGAATTTCATAACATTGTGTAACTTGATCTCATTTTGCTTGATGAAATGACAATTCTGTGGCAGTAGACGCTCTAGAAGTAGGTCAATCTATTCTTGTAAAAATCAGGTTATGCGCCTTTTTATGCGATCAAAGGTCATATTAATTGAAAGGTGAAACCACGAACATTTCTTGTCAGTTATATATAATGTTGCCATGTCAAATAGGAACGTGCACTGTGTTACTAACGGAACTGACGTTATATGTAATAATTTGACTGAGAAGAATAACCAAGGAGGTTTCATATAATTTAGGTCCTTGGAATAAGCCAAGTAGGGAGATTCTACTAAACGTCCTTGGAATAACGTCCACCTGTCCGCCCACCTAAAAAAATGTTGGATGTCAAAATGGATAAGGTGCAAAATGGCTTAAAGGTGCAATGCAGGTTTATAAGCTTTTTTTTGTCAATCAATAGTTTGTGCTTATATTTATAAACCTGCATTTCTCCTCTGGTCTCTCAGTCACTGACGAAAGCTTGTAGATGCTAGCTGAAACATCTGACCGTTTCCCAAATCATATCCAGTTGCTTGAGTAACTCAGCTTATTGGTGCACATTTCCATTTTGTTGCAATATTGATTGACGTTGGAAATTGATGTATTCACAGGTGTCTGCTGCTGCTGCAAAAAAAACCCACAACAACAAACAAATAAACATGGTCCTAACAGCAGGCTGGGCCATTTCCAATTTGATGACTGTCTTTGCAGCCACCGAAAGATCTACTTGGAGATTAGATCAGGGTACCTAAACACCAGACTACAACATTCTAGTATACCACCATTTTGTTTTGATAATGACATTAGAATTTGATGTGTTCACAGGTGTCTGCTGCTGCTGCAAAAAAACAAAAACAAGTAAACATGGCCCTAACTACAGGCTGGGGCCGTACAGTACTTAACACCCTCACAGTAGCGGCCATTCTCCCATATGGGATCGCTATATTCCTGTACCACAAGTTCGGCTGGCCAACAACCTACCAGGGAGGGAAGCTAGCCGGGCTACATCCTCAGAAAGTCTTCAAGCTGAACTATGCAGCCATGCAGTGGTTTGTGGTGGGGACTATACAGAACCTGCCGCTGTATTTCACTATAACCAGGGCTTATAGAACAGCCAGACCAGAAAGCCTCATAAAGGTATGATATTGTATCATGATAACCTTTTGCAAATAAGGAGTCTTTTTGGTTTTTTTTATAAACATAAGCCACATCTTGATGGATCCACTGTAATCAAATTGGTGTTCTGCAGCTGCATTTCTTCTCCCTAAGTCAGAAACATCAAGCTTAGCTTCAGTGAAGTGAGGAAAGTCATGTTAAGTGCCTTTCCCAAGAGCTTACAATGCAAATGCAATCATGAGTTTGATGAAGATTACATTGTATTAGGTATAGTGATTCTATGCAAACACATCGGTAACCAATTGCTCAGTGTTTTTGATTTGATGTTTTTCATTAAACCCAGAGCATTCCGTTTGGCCGGCACAACTGTCTCCTAGACCTGCACCTGCCTCACCCTGTTCCAGGACGGCCCCTTCCTCCCAAGATGCCCGTGTACATCTTTGTGTTCGGGGGCGCCTGGACCTCGGGTAGCAGAACACTTTATTGCATGCTGGCCAATCAGCTGGCAGATAAGCTACAGTCTGTGGTAGTGGTTCCAGACTACCCATTGTGGCCTGAAGTAAGTAGCATGAAATGCCTTCTAATTATTATTTACTTTAATAAGGCCACACTGATTTAATTCTATGGATGACATCCGTGCGTGCATTTTTGCCTGTTGTAAAAAAAAATCACCTCCAAGGTTTGGGTGCCATCCTGACCGTAGTCCATGATAGCTAGCAACAGTAGAGAGCTGGCAACAGAGGAAGGTACCCAGGCTACCAAGGCTCCAAGGAACTAAAGAATTATACCATACTTGATTACCATGACGATAGTGGACTGTTTACATATTGTTTATACTAGTTGACTGTTTAATAATCATAATTGTTAATTGTTAACTTACTCAATTGTTTATTTGTTTTGTGGCAGGAACAGCATGTCCATGCCATGCAGACAGCTATTATTGACAGTGTAGCCTGGACCTACAAGAACATTGAGAAGTACTCTGGAGACAAAGTGAGCATTGCCAATTGCTTCATGGTTCTACTGGCTACTACTTCGTGTGTATTTAGGTCACATACATGTACATGTAAGTAGCCTTTAAACTGTAGAAACATGATTCAGATTAAAGGCTATTAATTATATGTATCGCCATCTGTTTGTCTGAAAGCCATTGCAATACACAGTGCAATACACGCGGAACAGAGGCAGCTGTTGCTGGTGTTGTGTCCCGCACATATAAACGAATACTGGACAGACAATACTCATTTTCACTTGAGTCTAGTGGGGAAATTCGTATAAAGTGCCTTTCCCAAGGGCAGAAGATCAGTGGCATGTCACTGGACTCGAACCCAGGACCTCTTGATTCCGAGTCGCGCACACTGCCGTTGCGCCACACGACCCCACTGCCAGGGTTCTGACAGGTGTGTTTTCCTTACAGATGAATATCCACCTGATGGGGCACTCAGCAGGTGCTCACCTGAGTGTCCTGGCACCCATGGCATTGGCACAAGGTACACTTCAACTTCAGAAGTCCAGCCTTACAATGTTTGATAATGTTTTACATCATATTTGTATAATGACTATAGCTCAGGACACATTCATTTTGCAGTAATGTTTTACAAAGTGTTCGTGGTGACTTGATACCCTCGCATGAGCATTGTAGCACCTTGGCAGAATGTACTGTACTGTGTGCAAAATGCATATTGCATTGTGCAAAGCACTTCTGCAGAACATTTGGTTTAAGGCTGGTTATGATTTAATAATGACATCCTGTCTATAGTTTTAAAATGTTGTGTTGGAAAAGATATCGTCTGCAGTAATGCAAAATTCTGATGCAACGTTAACCAAACATACAATGAAAACACAGGCACAGTATACAATATAAATTCCACCGACATACATGTACTGAGCATAATGACAGTCATATACAAATATTATTTATTGCCAGCTTTTCTCCACTGAAAAGGGCCATGTACATGTCTAGCTTTCATCCATGAACTGCAAAAAACAACAGTAATTTTCCACATTTTATCCTCCTGCTAGGTGACTATTCTCCATTAGATGATAACACGACGTCCAGTACCCTCCTCCCAGCCATCAGAAAGGTCCTGGGCTTCTCGGGTGTGTATGACATCACAGACCACTACAAGCACGAGGAGATGCGGGGAGTAGCTGACGTGTCACCCATGCACAGAGTCATGGGAGGACCAGACAACTTCCACCTCTGGTCACCAAGTGTTCTGGTCGACGTCTTAGCAGAAAAAGACTTGATCTCCAGGTAAGACAATCATGTGCATACATTTGTTACTTGAACATCCATCAATGCTTGTAAAAATTATGTTTCTATACACTGAGAAAGAGAAACATAGTGTAGAAGCTAAGATTATGTATTTGGATGAAAAAAAATACCATTAGGCATTGTAGTAAGAAAGAAACATAATGATCCATAACTTAATGCACGCAAGCACTTGGGCTGAAGACCATACGTTGTACGATTCAAGGTTGAATAAAGGTCGAAAAATAAACTGAATTTTTTTTCCATCCAGACTCCCTCCGATGTACCTGTTCCACGGCACTGCAGACCACATCGTCCCTTACCAGTCTACCGTCAAGTTGGGCGAACGTTTGGCTAAAGTCAACGGGAAAGCCGTGGTGAAAATTTTCCCGGGCGTCGGACATTCTGAACCGGTGACGGATGTAATGTTACCCGACCGTCCGACCTATGACCTGATCATGGGCTGTATCATGGAGACAGCCAAGGACCAAAGGAACCAAGGGGACCAAGAACCTGCTATACTTCCTAATTTTATCTCAGGATAAATAAATTAGTAATTAAAATCATATCGTTAATTAAAAAAAGGCAAAAAAAAGGCATCCAATGCAATTTTAGGGCGGCAAAAGCAAAAAATAAAATATTCTGATTGAGGATATCTTATATTGACATTTACTGCCATTCCTTAGCAGATTTTTATCATCATTTCATACTTGTAACGTTTGAAATAGCCCAAAAATAAGCTACAGAGGCATTTTTTTGGGGGGGGGGTACCGCCCATGAATAGAAAGAACCAGCCAACAAATACAAAACAAGCAACCTATTTTCTGTCAGCAACATCACATTTTTGCCTAAAAGATTGGGGTTGATTCTTTCAACTTACATCTGAAAAGAATGACCAGAGAATATTGACTCTGAAACTACAGTTTTATCGCCTTGAAAGTGCATTGGATTGGAAAATGTTTGGAAGGATGGTAAATGTGTCTGTGTGTGGAGATTAACACTTTGTGCAATATACCTGTGTGGTTTTTTTATAACTTTTTTTAAATCTTTCGATTGTCTGCAAATAACAGTTCTCAATTTTTACCCAAATCTAATCCCAATTTCATATGCACCTGTACATTCCTTTATTAACAAATTCTTATTGATAATCATCTACCTTCATTGACAATGCTACCACCTTTAAGTGTTATTTTGATTGTTGCAATGTTACAAAATGTACATGTACTGGTTCTGTGTCACCACGATGATGTTAAGGCAGCATTATTTGTGTTAGAGGTGTTTTAATGTGTTGAATTTCCTACGGACCATTATACTACATGTATATATTCTTATTCTAGTCTTAACTCACTATAGATCAATATATTGTTTAAAGAGTGCTGGACACTTTAGTGATGACCAGAATTGAAGGACTAGTGTTTGCCATTGTCACTATACAAGAATGTTTTCAAGTTAATATATAATTATATATTAGGGTTTTCTTTTACATAACTGGTAAATTATGTCTCTTACCTTGTGCTTATGTTTTGATGTCTGTAATTTATAAATTGTTTATCAATATTCTGTTAAACAAAGTCCTTGGTTAAACAATACCACTGCCATTTTTTTACCACTCTGCAGTTCTGTCCATGCTGTTGTTTACATGGAAAGGTATGGGGACTTCTGGATAAATTCTAAAAGAAAAAAGCAGATCTCAAGATGCAACCTTGGTCAACATTTGAAATCATACCAAACGTAAATGCAATATTGAATATGGTATCTTGTAGAAAATACCTGACCATCTAGTTTAGGACACAGATAAGATGATACTATATGATACACAATACATCAATTAAGGGCACGTACAAGAAAATTGTTGCTAGAAGTTTATTGAAAAATCAGATATGGGTAAAAATATTGTAACCACATTGTATACTTACTGAAGATTCCAATAGTGTATTACTTTTCATGTAGTCACCGATACATAATATTATGCAATTTTAATTACATAGAAACTACTATAAGAATATGAACAGAATCTGATATTAAGATGATATCGTACAGAAATTCTATCCTGTTCATAAATAGGTACCACACCACAAACTGTGAACTATTATGAAAATGATATATAAGTAAGGAAATGACCACATCTGAAGGATTGTCTTCTCAAACAATGAAAACTGTTCTTTGTCAAAAAATAAACTTGACATTGAGTCGGTATATTCTAATTTGTATTTTACTTAATTAAAGTAGAAGGGAAAGAAGAAAAGACCATGATTTATCAAACCTTGTCACTATAAATGGACACTAGCCAGCAGAGTCTACATTTGTACCTAATATTTTTATCATCCTTTACAAGTTAGAGGACCAAATCCTTTTCTCAGTGTTCTGCAATATTGCAGAAAAGTCAAAATTTTGTTAACAATAACAATGCATTTGGGAAATACTTTTGCAAATCCAGACCTAAACCCATGATGCATAATATACAAAATTGCATGTAGGCAATAATTTTACAAGCAATTTAAAAAATGCGAAATTACACGTACATGTATAGCGTAAGTAGTGAACACAAAAGCTCATGCTGACACCATTGAACCCCTAGCCTGATTCCTTCAGGGCCTCTTCAGCACTGTACTATTCCTCGCTTTTGCAATAAAACCAAGAAATTTGACAAAAGAAAACTTACAAATTTGCATTGATGTTTTAGCATCTAAAAAACCCAGGTGTTTAACCATCTATGCACTTCTGCACATGCTCTTCAAACTTAGCCTGGTCGAAAAACTCGCGCTCACAGCGAGGGCACACCCTTCTGTCGTCCCCCCCGGATCCGCTTCCCCCCGAATCCTGTCTCGCGCCGTCAGCACTGTCCACCGCAACCATCTGCGGGAGGGGGGGCGGGTTCATCCACGGCCCGGCCTGGTTGGTGTAGGGGTTGGGGGTGGTGGGGCTGCCGCGTGCCATCAGACCAGGCTGCAGTCCCATTTGCTGAAAAGTACATTATGAAACTAGTTGTAACATCAACAAGTTTTTCATAGGCTGCAAGAATAGCCAGGAGTTTTTTAAATATCAGATTTAATGAATTTTGAGTTAGGCCATGTTGATTTGATTTTGTGGATGGCATCCTCTGGGAACTCATGGTGGTCATGAAGGTTGAACAAATGACTAAACACACACATTTTCTTCTTTTCCTTTGGAATTGATTTTGGCATTCTATGACATTACACATATCGTTTTCCAATAAATTTTCAAAAAATAATTTATGGCAAGTAATTGCTCATTTTGCAGCAGGTTTGTACGATTTACAGTATGGTCGAAAAATGTCACATGGCTGTCATCCATATAACCAAATAAACATGGCCTCATTAAAGAATTATCAAAGTTTTGTAGTAAATGGATACTCACAGGACTGGGGATAGCCAGTCCGACTTGTCGATTACATCCCAATCCATACAGCGCTGCAGCAGCTGGGTTCATCTGAAAAGCCTGTAACAAACAACAACAACAGTTCAGCATATCATAGAAGTTCATCTGTGTTCAACTTAGTGCTCAAAGTACTACTTTATTCCAACACAAGGGTACACAGGGATCAAATTCTTTAACGACCACTGTCGCTTTGACCAGGATAATTAATGATACGTGATATCAGCAATTGATCAAAGAAAGGCCATATAGATCAGCACTCCAGCCATCACTTAATAGAGACAGTGGACATGTACAATATCAACTGGCAATATGGCACGTTTGGCCAATTGCTGACGTCACGTATCCGTAAAGTCTTGTGTGAATAAGGTCATATGTAAGGCATACATATACTTCAGGCATGCATTTTACATTTGTTAGAAGAAGAATCTGCAGTTTCGAAGGAAGCTGCTTGGGGGCATTGTAACTACATTGTATAGTTCATAAAAAGTATAATGAAGAGACTCGTTTTCTCACCTCAATTTGTTTCTTGAACTGATTTTTCTCAAACCTCTCCCGTGACAGCATGTTGTTCAGGGTCTCACACTGATGGAAAACACATCAACACAACGGTCACATCAACACAACGGTCACATCAACACAACGGTCACATCAACACAACGGTCAGTAACGGCAAAAAACTAGATAGTACACGGAATTCCCAAATTCACTCCAATTTCCCTATGATTGGCTCAGTGCTTTAGCCAGCCTAAATATTTTGTCTTTTTTCCGTCATCTCATCAATTCTTTTTGAAGTAACATTATAGAGGGCCATTATCGAGGGCCAAAGGGTCAATTTTGGAATGAGGAGGGAGGCAGACTGAAATATGCTGTATTTGCTCCCAAGCAAATGTCAGCCTGTCTAGTTATGTTTACTAAAGGAAAACATATTGTTTTTACTCCATTTTTTTTTCTCCAAACACTAACCTCTGACCTGGCTAATGATATGATTTGTTGACGTCTGTCACCATGGTGACAGGTGTTGGGTTACATAATGTTGCAAACTCCGATCCTGTCACCACATACTAGTAGTACATGTATGTGAATATGTTTGAGTAAAAATTAACAGGGCAGACCATGTCCGAAGGTAAACATTATGCATTTGCTTTGCAAATGTTACTTCTCTAGTTTCTTTATTTCATTTCAGTGCACACCTCACTGCTGAGTTTGTTTATACAGTCCTGCATCTGCTTGAGTTTTGCCTCGAAGTCGGTCTTCTGGTTGTTCCTCTCCTGCTGCTCGGCCTCAAAGTCCTCCTTATAGCAGGCCGACTGGGCGCTGATGGCTGCATTCTCATCTAAGGCACGCTGAAGATCACCCTTCAGACCATCCACCTTCCGCTGAAGGGCCTGGACGTCTCCTTGTGAGCTGCCAAACTGGCCCTGATTTTAAAAAAAAGTTACATAATTATTGACAATGCTCTTAGCTTTAAAAGGCTTAGCATAGAGCAGTACGTCAGCACTATATGTCTAACATCGTTCATTTGACTTTTCAAAGTTGTTAAAGTTTTTAAAAGTATGACCCAGCCAGGGTTTGAACTCACGACCTCCCGGTTACAAAGCTAGCCCTCTTCCCGAGTGTGACCTATGGACCGTCCCAGCAAGGACATGGATCTAACTCACCTGTGCTGGGCTCCCTGCTTGTTGTCTCAGCTGGAATATCTTTGCCTCATAGTCCTGCTTCTGAAGCTGCAGCCTTCTCTCCAGTTCCGTGACTTGCTGGTTGAAATCCCTACCTCCCTACATGGCAGCAACACAACTATGTCAACGTACGGTCATGGCTTTAATTGCAATATTTGGTAAAGCCTTGCAATTGTACACAAAAGAAAAGATAAGATATCATTGCACAATTTTTTTGACTTCACTTTAATTTTTTTTTTTACATTTTCACACCTTTACTGGATATTTCTTGTGGCTGCAATAGTCTGTAAACTATTTGTACTGGTGCAAGTGAAATCAAAAATTATGTGCACACCTCAAATTTCACTTGCACAAAATACTGAATTTGAGGGGTAATTTGATGTAATATCATCAATGCCATTAAAAATCTTCAAATTCTAACAAAAAAAGTGCCCTTCTGAAGAAACTTCAGTAAAAAAATCAGTACCATGATTGTTTTGGAGCCCCTCTGTAACCTCCCGTCCAATTGGTCAGCTTTCTCCTGTTGTAGGGAATGTTTTTCCTGTTTCAGCTCAGTACTCATGCTCAGGACATCCTGCTGCAGTCTCTCATTCTCCAGTCTGAACAGCTCCAGCCACGTCGACTTGATCTGGTCAGACTTCTGCAGGGCAGACACCTGACACAAAACAACAAGAACAAGAGGCTGGGTCAAAATCAAATCTACAATATTCTAACGAATTCTCTTTATTTTTTGGATACCATAAAAATGAGTATACTAACCATTTTCCTTCAGGGATATCACGGTTTTGCCTCACAGATATCAGTAAAGGGATAGGAATTGATTCAACTTTCTACATTAATAGAATGACCAGAGTATTGAATTTGAAAATCCAGTTTTGCTGCCCTGAAATTGCATTCGGTGCCTTCAAACTCCAATAGGCATCAAAGTTAATACAATGTATAAAACATGCAGTCAAACATTACCAATTGAGTATACATATAACACTGTACATGTATATGGCATTGTGTCACACATTATAGACTTTGTACCTTATCTATCAGTTGTTCAGCCTGTATTGTCCCATCACTGCTGCGTGCATCTCTGATGGTTTCCTTCATCATCTTTATCTCCTCATCTTTCTGCTCTAACTGTTCTTTCACAGACTTCAGTAAGTCTTCACTGTTTTGGGCGGACTGGAAAAGATGGTGTCGGGGTTACATGTTGTGTGGCATCAGTTGATATTGGGTTAATTCAATATACACATACATAATCATACTCTTAATGAGTTGCTATATAGCTGTATGGTTAATACCTTAAAGTTTATGTACAATTTTTGACACAAAAGAGAGGTGATTGAATGTGTGGTCACTTTGAATTCATTCTTGTTTTTAACAGCAACTCTTTGATACCAAAACATTCAGCTTCATTTTGAACGTAACCGACAAAAATCCTCTAATATTGCCTGACAACATTTCCTTAAAAAGTCATTGAACTTTCGGTCGAACGTTAATTTGCCAAGTAACACACAATGGTAAGAGTGAGATCACTGTTATTTTAGGGCAGGCGTTGGTAGTTGATGAAAGGGGATGTACACCCCTGGGGCTAATGGTGGGCTGTATGAAGTACACTGGAAGTAATGCTGACGATTAACAACATTCCAGTATGATTACAGAAGGTTGGGTCTACAGCTGTGTACTAGTACTGTGTACTGGTACTGTACCACAAAAATTGATTAGGTACAGTTCCAAAATAAACATAGTGTGTATCGGTATCAAGTTACACTAATTATATGCTTATTTGTGACCTAAAATTAGTAAATTTGTGAATTGTTCATGAACATGTATAGTACAGGTACAGACCTGTACCTAAACCCATGTACCTGTACCAGTATCTGTTCCTTAAATTTGTTTAGCTAGTTGGGTCAGACATTGCAGAAGGACTAGTATTTGTTCCCATCCTATAATTACTATGAAACAACATTGTTCCTTTTGTATAGTTTACTTGCTTTGTAGGGCTATTATTATTATATTGCTTGAAAAACTAAATGTTCATAGTTCAACTTGAGAAAGGATTACAATGTAAAAACTACTTTTTCTTAACTCACCATGAAGTTTCTCATATCTTGTCCTCTTTCCTTCAAGACTTGTTCCAATTGTCTCTTCATGCGGGCGTTTTCCCTGACCAGGTCATCAAACACTTCTTTAGATACACCTGGTGTGATAAGACTCTCCAGCTTCTTCCCAGACATCTTACCAAACCTGAAGAATTAAAGACAGGATAAGGCGGTCAGTAGTCAAGTTAGCCATTGTCTCAATGGTATGATACATGTCTTTGTGTATTTCAAGATTTTGAATCCAAAGTGTGATTTTTATGACTTGAAACTTGATCATTAAGTAACATATTTATTCAATGGTGGACAAAAGGGGACAAATGTATTTGTATCTTTGCATATGTTGAATGTGTGGCAAAATTCCGATGAAAAGACGAGTGCTGCCTAGAACACTGGTTTCAGCAACGATCAAGCACTTAGTAACAGAAACAAAATTTCTACCATCACTGTCTCACCTGTCTTGTGCCCTCTTCAGTAAGATTTCATACTGGTTTGCTCTGGATTTGTACCTCCTGGCCTCCTGTTGAGAGTCGTGTAACAGAAGAACAAACTGTTCCACCTGTGACTTGTCCAGCATCTCCTTCTGTTGGGCCTGCATTACTTTCAAGTTTTCCTTTAGCTGATGGTTCTCGTTCTGAAGATGCTTGGCAAATTGGACAACCTCCTGTTACAGACACAGCAAAGGGTTCATAAATTAGCACAGTCCAAATGTAGAGACCAAAATAAACATCATACAACATGTGATTCGTAGTAAACAAAACTTATAATTAATTGTTCCTATCATATGTAGAAAAAAATTGCCTTTTTGTGTGTGTCATGCTCTTATTTATAAGTTGCTGATTCTGTTACCCATTTTGACAATCTGGCAATGTATACATGATTTTTTCTCTACGAGTTCAAGTTTAAGTTTAATTCTGTACCAAGGTTATAGATAATTGCCAATTACAGATTCACAAAGTTAAAACTATTCTATACTAAGTTATTCTTTCATATCCTGTCAGTACAACTCCTTAAATGACATTATCCAATCTGTTCTAAAATCCCATGTAATATTCTGCAACAGATTCCTTTGCAATATCTGTAATCATAGACATATTTTCAACTATTGTTATTATGTGTATTTTTATCTGTATGTTTTTCTTTCTATGGGCTAGACTAAGTGATGCCTGAAATAAAGAATAAATAAAGAAAGAAAACCTGTGGAACATCTTACCTTGACTTTCTCTGGGGCAAGAGTTGTGTGTGATTCTGCCATGTTGTCCCTTAAACCCTCTGATCTCTTACCATATGGATAAAAAACTTCACTGAGAAAACGTTACTTCCTTTCCTTTCTTGGAAATCTGATTAAAATTGTTGCTTTGCTGTGGATATTCTGTTGTTCAACATGAAAAGGAGCAAGGCTGTAAAAAAAAATCACAGACATAAGACATACTAACAGTTATATATCTTTAAGGTACAGGATTTAGCAATGTTGTATATTGATCATGAAAACTACTTGAATGTGACATTATTTCAATATCTAGACTTATACTAAGTGAACATAACATCATTTTAAATAACATAACAATTCTACCGATGCTTCTTTTCGTCTTATTTTTCGTTTTATACCACACTTTACAGTTGTGATGTTTAACAGATTTAAACGGCCTTTTTTTAAAATATAGGTCACTTTGAACATGTTCCCATATTTACACAAACATATTGTATAATACACTGTACCTCATAGTCATAGACACCCACGACAAACATATTTATTGACTAAGATTTCAGTCTTACACTTTAGCTGAACATAATCATAATCATCATAATCACTGACAGTCACAAATTATGGACATACAGTATGTTACAATGAATCTTGTTAAGTTTGTATACTCAACCTAACTCTACGAAACCTTACACAACTTACCTGAAACCACCAATGTGACGCTGTTGAAATAAAGCAGAGAGGAAATGACCAATGTAAAAATGGCCCGACTGGTTTAGGTTATTTTTCTAACGTATAAGCTAAGTACGCAAATGATTCCTACATCTGTGAAAGGAGGAACTTAGTGCCACGCGACTCTAATGTTGGGAAAACACGTTGTAGTGACCTTGTAGAGACAAAATTTCGTCATCTAAAAGACCCTTAGTTCTCACAGAAACGGAAATAGAAACCGTCTAAATTAGACTCTATAAAGCACGTTAAAATCCTGATGTTTTTTCCGGGACTTTCCATGGCCAACCCTCAGAAATCGTGACGAACCGGGATTTCCGGGTGTGCAGGGGAATCCCCAACGTCATCACTTCCTGCGTACTCTTCGCCGTTTTCCCATTCCCAGGATGCATATCGTCAGAGGTAAAAAGGCCCAGCTTCTAGGGTCGGAAGTTGATGGATGATATCCTCTTGGAACCCCAAAACTGATGCGAGCGTGCGAATAAAAAAAAAAAAAAAAAGGAATGTTGCCTGACATTAGGAATCTACGTGGTCATGAAGGTTGTACAAATTGCATCCAATGCGATTTCAGGGTAGACTTCTTCTATAATGCGGCGGCGTTAATTTTTTTGCGGGGAGCGACGGTTTTGCCGCCGAGGGACTTTGCCCGGCGGGAGGGACGGTTTTCGCGCAGTGGTTTTCGCGCATCAAGATCATGTTCAGGGCAGCAAAACTGGAAATATTCTGAAATCTGAATAAGGCAAGTTTTGTTATATTGACACATACTGCATCACATTAGCACATTTGAATCAGCATTTCATACTTTTGGGTTATCTAAAACTGCAGAAACAAGCCCCGAGATGAGTCCTTTATTTTCTGGATGGTACCTAAAATCAACCCAGGGTCCTTTCAAAAACCATTTTCCATCAGAATTTGGGGATTTTTTTTCTCAGTGAGGGTCAATGTACATATGAGCCTGTGTGGTTAGCCTGGTATCCAGCCTCGGCGGGGAGCGGATCTTGGGTAGCGGACTAAAGCTAACAAGGCTGGATACCAGGCTACTGTGTGGCTTTAATTTTTCTTCAAAGAGTGCATGACAGACACTTGAAACGTCTTAAAATAAACTCCTATATCCAGTGGTAAAGTTTGAAACATTATTTCATTACTATGTCGAATAATAATATAAATTAAATAGAAATTTTATTTTCATTTCTTCACCTTTTCCTCTTTTCCTTTGGAACTGATTTTGACATTAGTATCATCAACGAGTTGTAGAATGTCCTTGGTATCAATTTCCAGGATTTATTTGCAATTTTCGACTTTTTTTGCTCATTTTGCTGCTGATTTGTATGATTTACAGTGTGGTTTAAAACTTTTTTGAAAATGGTCGACACCTCATATAATATAATATACATATAATATACATATAATATACATATAATATACATATAATATACATATAATATACATATAATATACATTGTACTACATATGTTAAATTATTTTGTGCTTGGTTGTAACGTTAGATAGAAAATGAGATACATCTATTGCTCGTACTACGTAATACTTTAACAGATGTTGTATGTACAGGTAGTATATAAATATCAAGTCAGCAACCTTCATTATTTTACACTAGATAGAAATATTAGCGGTTGCTAATATATACAGGTTCGCAATGTAGTGTATTAAGCTAAATCGGCTACTAGTATTTAAGGTCTCATACGCCAATTTCGCTGTCCCATAGACTTACACCTTAAAATACGTAACTATTTTGGCTGGAATCCAATCAAAAAAACAAATCAAGAGTTTTTTTATTTCTATAGCAAGCACACATATGTAAGGCAGTACATTGATTTGGCCATACCAAGGCCACAGCTTCAAGGCCACATACTCCTGTTTACCTGAGGGAGTATCGGTACGCTGCCGCCTGAGCTGTGTGTCCTTGAAATTGCTCAGACTGCCAACTTTGGCCTGAGGAAAGGGAAATGAGGTCACGGAGAACAGAACAGACTCGGTGGAACTGCGTTTTCACTGTTTAAGACGGGAATACGAAGAGATACAGAAAATTTGCTGTGTGAGCCCTTTCAAGGGGCCCTGCAAGGGGGGTCCCAACAACGCTAAATTCTGAGAGCCGGCTACGTATTGCGCTGAATTCAAGAAGCCTCTCTACGCTACGCTAAATTCGAAAGATTCCTAACACAGAAGTTCACTTTTAGTGCTTTACCTTTTGCAGGGTTCCTTCGCATCCTTTTTCTAATCACCACTCACCTTGTAAACAAGTCCCTTATCAAAAGAAAAAACACACCCCAAAACAAAATTCCACTTCTCTAAATAAGTGGTCCCATCTTTAGGACTACACATTCAAGAAAATACTGTTTTCTGAATTTAAAAAAGAAGAAGAAAAACTTCTGAAGAAAGAAAATTATTAATATGCACAATTTGATTGGTTTCTAACCATGGTTTCTATCCCTCTGTTTGCCTAAAAATCGATAATGTGATTGTATCAATTTTAAACCCCCTAAAATTAGCTGTGTCCAGGGGAGGGAGTCTCCTCCTGGCTGTTATCACAACCAGTTTAAAAACTATTATAGTCTTATTGTCGGGAAACTCCCAGTCCTTTCTACAGGAACACAGTTCCTCCCCTGCTAGCGTTATTGTATCATCCCCAACAACACGGCCTTGAACAGCGATCATATAGCGCTCAAGGACAAACAGCTGCAACTATGCAACTTTACTTTGTACATAAGCAGCAGAACGTCTAGAGGAAAATCCGTACAGTATAACGCCCTGCAAACTGCAAATTATGTTTGTGAAAACTTATTGAGAAGCATTTCATGAAGACGATCGACCCTGAATTTGTCGTAAACCTTATAAGTAAGTTTGTGGGTTTGTAGCACAAGTTCTACCCCGCTATTGTAAAATGTACAATCCCCACAGCAGTTGAATACTAGTATACATACGGTGAAAACGAAATGTGATAGCGCTTAGTCTAAGCCTCTTGTCTTTTAATTGACCTCAGATTAGACAGAGGTGAATTGTTATCAATCACACCGCTAACGTAGCGACCTGAGGTTAAGCCCAATGCGATGCCTGTCAGACACGTCTAGACGTAACTGCGCAAACCCTCCTTGATTAGTGGACTCTTCCATGATGTCAATGTCTTTGCATTGCAGCTATGTTGACCAAAACTATTGAGTATTTAGAACAACCTATTAAAAGCAAATAAAGGGTCCGTCAGCATTGTCAAAAGTTCATGAACTTTTCAAATTTGACCCGTAGGTTAATGTCAGGACCCTCAGAAATGGGCATTTAATTGGTAGGAAGCGAGTTAACGCACGATTTCTTGAAGGAAATGTCAATCAGATTTGCGGTGAATTTGAAATTATTCAATCTATTCGGACCAATCACGGTGGATATTTGGGAGCCCCGGGGATGAAAGTTTGTAATTAGCATGCCTTCCAGCCCCTGTCGTGTTAGTCTGACGTCAACCTGCCAGGGGCAGGACAGGCAGAATTCTCTCGGCCAACTAGACTAGTACGAGTTATCCAGTTTTCGGCTTTCTCACGCCACGCATCCCGAAGACACAGCGCCGATGTGCCGGCTGAGGTCACCTTCTGTTGGCTCACAACGCCGGCTAGGCGGGGAAGGACTGCAAGGACAAGCAGGATTCCCTGGTCTATCCGACAGCTACGCTAACCATGGCGGACCTACAGAAGAAGACCATCAAACTGTGAGGCCGAGCTCCAGCGAGAGGTGGAGGCGCTAGAACAGAAGTGGCAACAACTGCACTCGCCCTCGTCCCATCCCCCTTCCTCCAGAAGAGCTGGCGATACAGGTGGAGGGAAACGCGCACTTTCTTGGCTTTCGCCCGTCATTCATGCATGAAGCGAGAGCTGGCCTGGATGCACAGATTCACCAGAGTTT